TACCAGTAGTGTCTGATGTAAAATCAGGATCTAAAACGCACAAATATGGTAGAGTCTGAGTAGTAACACTTCACTTATCTAGCTCTAGTCATTCACACCAGAAGAAAAATTTGCCCATTCAGCAAATATTTAGTGGCAAAAAAAATGAAGATTGGAGGAGTTAAGACACCCTAACTTCTAAAACTGAGGCTAAAACATTGATAGGGACATAGAAGATGGCTGGGTTGTAGTGTGCCAGTTACGCTCCAGGTGTTTAATGAGTGGATTTAGCAACCAGTTATGAATTTATGTCCACACCCCACCAGGAATGCTTCTAATCTGTCGTATTTAAAATCTTGTTTAAACAGGGATTTTTTTTTTCAAGTTAGATGCCAAATTTTAAAGAGCTACACTTAAGCATTGATGCTGTGCCACCGCAGCTAAGTTACATGATGTTGTAATAAGTTGCTCATTACTTGGGAAAGTTAAGTGTAGAGCCTATTTTTAGACTGCATTTGCTTATTATTTTGTTTACTCACCCCTTTATTTTATGTAATGTGCAAATCATGAATTGATCTCAGATCACTGTTAACAAAATAAGAATACAACAACTGCCATATTGTCAGAACAAAAGTCCTCCTGGCCACTATCGTGCTCCAGCTGTAGCTAGTTCCTGAAGAGTCACTGAATATAACAGGTTCATTGCCTGAGAAACTGAAACTGTCTATGAAACAGAGGTACAATATGATAAAAACAGTGTGAATCTGTTGGGGTTTTTGGTGGTTTGGTTTTTTTTTTTAATCCCTGTGTTGACTTGGAACTCCTATAAAAGGTAAAATATTACTTAGCACTTGTGTTGAGGTAATGCCTCTTACAATCTGCAATGAATATACTTTATCATAGAATCATAGAATGTTTTGGGTTGGAAGGGACCCCTAGAGGTCATCTAGTCCAACCCCTCTGCAGTGAGCAGGGACATCTTTAACCAGATCAGGTTGCTCAGAGCCCCATCCAACCTGGTTTTGAATGTTTCCAGGGATGGGGCCTCCACTACCTCTCTGGGCAACCCATTCCAGTGTTTCACCACCCTCATTGTAAAGAATTTCTTCCTTATATCCAGTCTAAACCTACCCTGGTTTAGTTTAAAACCATTACCCCTCGTGCTGTTGCAGCTGTCCCTACTAAAAAGGTTTTCCCCATCTTTCCTAAAAGCTCCCTTTAAGTACTGTTAGACACTCAACATCTATCAGGCTAAAATTTCTGTTTACCATCAGTCTCCTTATAAAATAATAATTAAAAAAAAAAACTGTAAAAGACATTACAATGCAAAAAAATGGTTGGAAAAGTAGCAGAATTAAGCTGTTTCTTAACTGCCAGGAAACAAGTTTGACTAATATTTTGAGTAAGTCTGTCTGTGGTGATAAGGGTAGATGAGCCAGCTCAGAACTCATTTACTCAACTCTTCCACCAAGTACTGCAGGGATATCTGTTAATACGAGTGTAGAACTGCAGAGTTCAAGTTGACATCTCCTAAACTCTCCTTTCCTTTGTCTATTTCTTAAATTACTTTTCATCTGTAAAGACATTCGATGAGGGACATAACTCCATGACTTTCAATAGCATGCAAAGCCTTGTGCTGAAAACAGGGTAGACCATAAGAAACAAACCTATAAGGACAGGAAACTGCCGATAAGCTGCAAGTTTGGGTTGAAAAATATTCTCCATTAGAATCCTCTCCATGAAAAATAAATCCTGCGAAAGTTTTCTGATGTTAATATAGCTTCTGAATGGCATTCCTCCTCTTTGTGGGTTCTGGCAAGAACAGCGCTTTCTGATATTATAGAAGTTATGCTGCCTGACAACAGATAATAGGGAAAAAAACAGTTTTAACCTCGTAATACTTTCCACATAAAAATCAAAAATCCTCCTTCATCTGCAAAAAGCATAGAAGAATCTATCATCAGAAAAAAAAATACTTCCACTATTATTTTTTTCTTGCTCTAATTTTGTTTTCTTTTATTGTTCAAATACTCAGTATGATGAGATACTTCTGGAATTTTTCACAATTGGTGTTTTGCTTTTACTGTTCTAAGTAAGTTAGTACCAGCAAACTTTGTCACTGACTATTTATCTTTATTAAGACCATTTATGATGGCATTGTACAGAAAAGGTCTTGGTGCAGATCTGTCGAAGTCTTTCAAGTGCCAGACAGGCAGAGCAAACATCTTCTTCATGTAGCTTTTGCCACACAAACGTGATATGTGTGGTTTAGGAGGATGAAAATACAGCAGAAATGTAAATCTGGAAAATGTTACCTCTGTCAGAAAAGACAGACGTAGTCTGATCATGCTTTTCATTTGTATGAGATTCGCTGCTTTTCCCAGTTGTGGCTCTGCTACCTTCTGCTTTTGACGTAGGTTCTATTTCCGATATGTTAAATGAATCGTACAAGTCCCAGGAAGTCACCATCATCCCTAGAAATGAGTTACACTGTATTACACAAGTCTCTTGTTTTGGTACAGTACGAAGGACTACGTACAGCTGAGCAAAGATTAACTTTTTGTACTACACTCCCAGCTGTTTGGCAGAGGGGCTTTGAAACGAACGGAGGGTCGGACGAGGCTGTACCAACAGCTGTTGTGTGATTGCACCAGCTGCATGAGGGTCTTCTGTGTGTGTGGCTTCCCTTTGGCAGGGCCATCTCCCTGTGCAACAGTGCTCTGTAACCTTGCCTTTATGTGCTCAGCTTTTCAAACATGGGTTGGAATGAGCCCTGCTGATGCTCAAGGCACACACAAAAAAGGTGAAGATATGTTTTCAAATGAGATTAATATCTATTTTGCTACTTCTTTTTTTTTCACTGATTTTACATACACTAGCAAACACAAAGGAAAAATGTTTGGAACAGCATTCCCCATGGTTTTCTTTGGCATCCTAAACAAAGTCCATAGTGAGGCAAAGCTCAGCACGCACATCTAAAACAGATATTCCTCTATAATTTTTTTAGAGCATTGAGGTTGAATGTTTTGTAAAATTGCATTTATCTTGTGAGACTGCCAAGATTTTCTGCTTTCCCCAAGATTTTAAGTCTCATAACAGAGGTTTTCTTCTTTGCATTATGGCGAGTAGAAACCAGCATCACTGAGAAGTTAAGGGGAAAAAAGGGAACTGTGCCCTTTTCATATTTCAAGAGCATAGTTGAGTATTAGGTGAAGTTCTGCCTCCTAAGAAGTATGCTCTGCTTGAGGCAGGGCTGAGGCAGGCAGGACACAGCAGCTCTCAGCTAGTGTAATGACTATTTTATTGCAATGGATACAGTATACCGGTACCAATGTTCAAGTTTTAGGAAGGTCAGAAAAGGCCACCACAAATCACACCATCCTGTCTGAACTTAAAGCTCTGGAAGTGAAAGTTGAGGAAACAGCTTCTCCTGCTTAGAGATGGAAGAAAGAAAAAAACTCTTTCCTTTGTATCCTACCTGTGTGCAGGGAGTCTTCTGAGGTCCCACAATCTAGCTGTATGCTAGAGTTTTCCCAAATAAATATTTAATAAGTAAACTAAATGTAATAATAAAGCCAACTGCCAAGGGTACAATGTAGTAAATGAGAGCCCGTTCTTATTAAATACCCTTTCCTATATGGTACTCAAAAAGTTTACCTTTATCTTCCATGATGATTTTGTCACACTGCACTTCCTTGTTCTTTGCAGCTCCATTAAAGGTTTGCATCATTTTTTCTACAAAGCGATCATTACCAGGTCTATTTTTGCAAATGTCAACATAAATCCTATTCCGCTCCCTCGGAAAAAAAAAAAAGGAAAAAAAGCATATATTGACTCTCTGAAAAACATTTACATTCAACTTCTTGGTGTATTTAACCACAAGTTGAACAGAAGAGGATATTCCGTGTCATAAATTTACTGCTTGGTGTTTTTTGGATTGTTATTTTATTTCACACTATGTATTGTCTTTCAGCAGCTATTTCTGACCTTGTGATGCTGTTCTAAAACAGAAATGGCCTGTAGAGGTAGGCATCAGCAAAAATCCCTACTCCAACTACCTTTGCACTTTGGTAGAATTCAGAGGAGTTCAGAAATATGTAGCTCCCATTACTTGGGAGTGAAAGGCAGTGCATCCAAGAGACAAAAATGAAACTAGTACGTTTCTATTTTGTCCAGCTGTCAGATTCTGTAGGAATGGTCAGTGGGAATTGTGAAACTTTTCCTATTATTTTGGTTTCAATATTCTAACAGCAGATGTATATTATACCCTGCCTTAGTCCACCCACAGGTTGCTGTGCTTGGGAAGAGTCACTGTCTGTTCCTATACAGTTGGCAATATGTGCTGTGTACACCAGCTAAGTCTGATTCATAGGATGCTCTTCCTCTTCCTTCTTCCCAAAAATCACACCAGTGTGATTCACAGACAGTGGGGGTTGGAGTCCTCCCATAAACTGTGTGTATACTAGCAGAAAAAGCTAACTTAGATAAGTGGTTTGCCTTGCCAAGTGCAGTACGCTGCATCTCAGGCTTTAGGACTTACATCTACAAAAGCTTGTGACAAGTCTATCAGTCTGACATCCATCATGGAGAGAAATTTGCTGCACTCTGTCCCAGTCAGCTCCTGGAACTAAGCCAAAAAACTACATGTTCTGGGTTAACTCCCTACCAAAGTTCATGGTAGTCCAGGGAGGAGACTATGAAGTGGAAACACTAGATGCAACTAAGGGGAGACACAACAGGCAAGGTCATTTGCGGTGGGGTGAGGTTTCTTCTAGCTAGAAGCACTGCAAAGAGCTTCAGAGGAAGCCAAGGCCTGCCTAGGTTGTTTATATCTTTGTTATTAATAAATCATTAGCTGTAAAGCTACGCACAAGAATCAATGCAGAGGTTTGCAGTTTTCATTAAAATTAAATCATGTAATTCATGTATACCTCACTTCTCCATCTTCTCTTTTCCCCCATCCCCTGTGTGTTCTCTTGTCACCATAGAATCATAGAATGTTTTGGGTTGGAAGGGACCCCTAGAGGTCATCTAGTCCAACCCCCCTGCAGGAGCAGGGACACCGCTAACTACATCAGGTTGCTCAGAGCCCTGTCCAACTTGGCCTTGAATGCTTCCAGGGATGGGGCCTCCACTACCTCTCTGGGCAACCTGTTCCAGTGTTTCACCACCCTCATTGTAAAGAATTTCTTCCTTATATCCAGTCTAAACCTACCCTGGTTTAGTTTAAAACCATTACCCCTTGTCCTGTCACAGCTGGCCCTACTAAAAAGATTGTCCCCGTCTTTCCTATAGGCCCCCTTTAGGTATTGAAAGGCCACAATCAGGTCTCCCCGCAGCCTTCTCTTCTCCAGGCTGAACAAGCCCAACTCTCTCAGCCTGTCCTCATAGGAGAGGTGCTCCAGCCCTCGGATCATTTTTGTGGCCCTCCTCTGGACCCGCTCCAACA